GGCGTAGTCAAAGTGGAGTTAAGCTAGATAAGTTATGTGCCATGCGTGATACACGCTTCGCCGATCATGTATCTTTCAATACATGATTGACGAGGCATATTTTTTCCCACAGTAGGTTGCCATTTCTTTCTGCGGTAGACCAGTTACCATCCAAGTTTATAGAACCCGGTCTATTCTGCTATTTGCCTATAGCTGGGAGGAGAAGAAGAGAAGTCATACCTTTCCCAAGGGTATTAGCACGTAAGTGAATGTAACGGATTTGACTGGAATTCGAACTCGGCATTCTGATTCCACAATTTGAGCCGCTATCCATTACTCCACCAGCTAGATCCCTGGTAATAATAAGTACTCACTGATAACCACCAATGGAGACTTGATAACCGATATGAATTAGAACAATCTGGTCGATGTTTGCAGTAGCTCCAGAGGCCGCACCGGGGCCGCCATCATGGCTCAGTGCAATTGTACTGAATGACCTTTAGAAAATATATTATTTCTTGATGAGGAATATCTATGATTTAGTATACATTATAAATTTTCTTCGCTTACTTTCTGCACTACATGCCTGATGGCTGTTGACTCTTTCGACGAGTATGACCAACGCTAATAAGTTTGATCTATGTTTTTAACACTCATAAAAACGACAATGGCTCAATTTACATGGCAAGTTTACTGCAAATGTGTCAAGCTAAATTGTTCTGAAACATGTCCTTAAAGTCTGGATACTTAGGCTAAAATGCATATTTTCAAAAAATATAATTATCAACAGCATTTCATTGAATTGGAATATTAACAAATAACATCTCCAATATGACTTCCATTATTTGTGATGCAGAGGTTGATGCGCTTTGCAAGCAGCCATATTTAATTTGTGGGGCTAAAAATATATATATTTAAAGAGATTACCTATGTGTCCAGACTTTATGGACACCTTGTGTACAGGGCCTGGTCTGTTTTGCAAAGTCTGTTTAATTTGTTCATGGGTTTTCATGTGACATGTGAGACTGGAGATGTTTATGAAGCTTTTCTGACACACCCCGCATGTTATTTCCAGCATCGTACTGATCCTAATTTGCCAAAAGTTTAGCAAATAACTCTTGTTGTTGCTAACAAGTCCTACATTGGAGAGACATAGTTTCTTCCATTCTTTATATGTAATTGATTGATTGCTAGATAAAGGATTTTCCCATTTCCTACCTCTGCAGTGTTGAATCCCATGATGCTATCACAGTCTATTTCTTTATATCTATCTATCTATCTATCTATCTATCTATCTATCTATCTATCTATCTATCTATCTATCTCAGTCTCTTTCTTTCTTTCTATCTCAGTCTCTTTCTTTCTTTTTAGCTATCTATCTCAGTCTGTTTCTATCTATCTATCTATCTATCTAGTTTGTGTTTATCTATCTATCCCAGGAGTTTGTTTGTTTTTTTCTTTCTACAGAAAAATTATGACAAATTGGAAAAAAAAAGTTTTTCCATTAAATCTATCTATCTATCTATCTATCTATCTATCTATCTATTTATCTATCAAATTGGAAAAAAAGTTTTTCTGACGCGTTTCTATCTATCTATCTATCTATCTATCTATCTATCTATCTATCCCAGTCTGTTTTGTTTGTTTGTTTCTTTCTTTCTATTTAGAAAAATATTATGACAAATTGGAAAAAAAAGTTTTTCTGACGCGTTTCTATCTATCTATCTATCTATCTATCTATCTATCTATCTATCTATCTATCTAGTTTGTGTTTGCGTGGAGAACATTTTCCACGGAAAGGCTGGGAGATGCCAATAAAATCCTGTCTTTTTTGGTGGGCATTACGCGATTTTCTATTGTCTAGTCTCCCCGACCATTGATACGTCATTTTTATTAAGTGTTCGTCAATCACTCTTCTTCCTCTATTTTACAAGAGCACTCGATTTTACATGTACAAGTTTTTTTGTGACTACTAACTCTCCCAAACCGTTCAGATTAAATATTCTAATTTAAAATGTGCAACTACTATCGCGTAACACAGGTGCAAGGGATCAGTCTCTCTGATTTTCGGACTTGTGCAGAAACGAACTCTGATACTGAGTATTCTTCCATCACACACATACACACACACACATATATATATATATATATATATATATATATATATATGTCATTGGAAGACAGAACTGTTTCGCTGTTTCACAGCTTCTCATTGCGTCTAGACATCCGAATGCCTCAAGCCAAGATTGAAACCCAACCAATTTGGTGTCAGTCAGAGTTTCTACCACTGAGCTTTGACACAGTGAAGCAGCTAAATCTAGCGCATTTTTTTACGAATGTAAACAAATGCCATATATATATATATATATATATATATATATATATATATATATATATATATATATCAATATATATATATATATATCTCTCTCTCTCTCTCTCTCTCTCTATATATATATATATATATATATATATATATATATATATATATGACGACTTTAAACAATATGTGTGTGATTTAATTTAGTTCTCTCCAGTATTAAATGTATATGGATGAAAGTATAAAGTGTGTATTGCTCTAATCTCTTAAATATCACAATACTGTCTGACAATTTTATCACCGAAATCCTGGCTTCAACCTAGGATCGAACGTTGATCACAAAATTAGGTGGGCCGCCAACTTCCCCTTCTTTTTCTCTAAGTGCGATCCTCTTTGTAAATATATGTATGTATTCGTTTGTGTGTACGTGTTTGGTTGCTTGTTTGTTTGTGTGTGCGCATGCGTGCGTGCATGCATTTTATTCGAGTTGCGATGTACAGTTTGCCCTCGACTGTTAAAGGTGAAGTTCACAAATGAAATAATTTTTTGACCTAGATAATTGTCACCCCCCTCCTCTCCAAATCTTCTCTCATCCCCCGCCCATCATGAATGGAATCAACATTACCAGCCTTTAAATCCGGTTTTGATACTTTTTCTATTAATTCCTGACAACACCTCCACCGAGAGCGACGCCACTTCACAATCGAGCCATGCCAGCCACCTCCGTAACCTATGACAAACACCTGCAGCCTGTAGTTGAGTTGTCCTTTTCTTATTGACAATGTCAAATATCTCCTTCCAGGCAAAATAAGGTGCTGCTTTTAAATGTGGAAACCCAATCGCAGACAATGTGGCTAGGGAAGGTCCATCATGTCTCGGTGAAATCAGCTGTAGCCATGAGAGACTGCAGATGAAGAGCAGGTGCAAAAAAACGGAATCTGGGCCATTTTTCCAACTTATCGCCGAGAGGCATAGAAAAAAGATAAAATTCTTCATCCTGAAAATGGATGACGCTCTTCGAATATATATATATATATATATATATATATATATATATATATATATATATGTGTGTGTGTGTGTGTGTGTGTATGTATATATATATATATATGTTTGTGTGTGTGCGTGCGTAGTGTGTGTGCACTATTTAAGATATTATCATACAAGTGATGTTTAATGTTTTTAAATAAAAACAGATATTATAATTATGCTCTTTCATCTCTCTCTCTCTCTCTCTCTCTCTCTCTCTCTCTCTCTCTCTCTCTATATATATATATATATATATATATATATATATATATAAGCATATCTTAAGAACGTAAAATATTTTGACTTACAAAATAAAATGCAAAGGTTTTTTAAAAGGATCAAAAACTCTCATTTAATAATCAAAATTTTTTGGCCATTTCTCTTAAGAATAACAAAGATTTTGACGAGAACCTTTTGTTTTTATTAAATCTGTTGTATATTTTCATCGTGTGTGCTCATTTTAGCGAATCTTTGGAGGTACTCATGTATGAATACACACACACATACATATATATATATATATATATATATATATATATATATATATATATATATATATATATATATAAAACATGGATTTAAATCCGACAGATTTTTTCTGTTTGTTTAAATGTTATTTTTTTTTAAATGAATACTCATATTTGAGTAGAACCCTGCCGAAGGACTGATAATGTTTTATATATCCAGAAAAAGGATCTAAATTTAATCGGCTAGATTATAAACCCAAAACAAATATGAAAAAAATCATCTTTAAATTTAACATTCCCAGTGTCTCTCTTTCGTACGCATGTGTAGTTGCGACAACGCAAACTTAGTTCGATGAAATCATAAAGGTGAAAAGTGTGACAGGAAAACTTTTTACACTTTGTCACACACAAACACACACACACATATATATGTAAAATGTGTATAATATATAAATATATATATATCAAAATCACATCAATTCAACTAAATATTTTAGCTCACTGATATATATAAATAATATATATACAACAAATTGTGTATATATATATATATATATACAATTTTATATTATATATATATCTATCTATCTATCTATCTATCTATCTATCTATCTATATATATATATATATATATATACACACACAATTTGTGCATGTATATATATATATATATATATATATATTTATGTACATATATATATGCAATTTGTATATATATTATTTATATATTATATATGTGCGGTACTTATTGGAAAGCGCTCAATATCAGTGAGTTAACATATTTAGTTGAATTGATGTGATTTTGTGACCTTGGACTTCGCGCTCTTTGCGATAGTCAAACATATTCTTTCTTTCTTTCTATTTTTTTTTCTTTCGCCTATAATTTCATTTTCTTCACTTTTTCCTTCATTCACCTATATTTTTTCCTATTTTCTTTCTATTGATCACATATTCTTCTTCATTTTTTCATTCTTCCGTTCGTTTGTTCACCTCTGATTTCTTTCAATTCACCAATGATTTATTTATTTCTATTTTATCAATGAACACTTTCTTTCTTTCTTTCGTTCACTTACCTATGATTTCTTTCATTTGCCTATAATTTTTCTTTCTTTTTTACCTTCATTCGCCTATACTTTTCTATTTTCTTTCGACCACTTCTTCTTCTTTTTCTTTCATTCTTTCTTTCTTTTTTCGTTCATCCACCT